TACTGGAAGGGTGCTAAAAGGTCTCCCTGCAGCCTTCTTTTCTTCAGACTGAACATTTTTGTCCCCCTCCTCTGGACCCGCTCCAACAGCTCCACATCCTTCTTGTGCTGAGGACTCCAGAGCTGGATGCAGTACTCCAGGTGGGGTCTCACCAGAGTGGAATAGAGAAGCAGAATCACCTCCCTCGACCTGCTGGCCACGCTTGTTTTCATGCAGCCCACTCAGCTTGGTGTAATCTGCATACTTGCTGAGGGTGCACTCAATCTCGCTAATTCATTGATGAAAATATTAAATAGCACTGGTCCCAATATGGATGCCTTAGGGACACCATTTGTCACTGATCTCCATCTGGACATTGAGCCATTGACCATTACCCTGTGGCTGCAACCATCCAAGCAATTCCTTATCCACCAAACAGTTCACCCACCAAATCCATATCTCCCCCATTTAGAGAGAAGGATGCTGTGAGGGACTGTGTCAAAGGCTTTACAGAAGCCCAAATAGATGACATCTGCTGCTTTTCCCTTGTCCACTGATCTAGTAATTCCATCATAGAGAGCCACTAGGTTGGTCAGGCAGGACATGCCCTTGGTGAAGCCATGCTGGCTGTCTCGAATCACTTCCCTGTCCTCCATGGGCCTTAGCATAGCTTCTAGGAGGTTCTGTTCCATGATCTTCCCAGGCACAGAGGTGAGGCTGACAGGTCAGTTATTGCCGAGGTCCTACTCTATTTTTTTTAAAAATGGGTGCAATGTTTCCCTTGCTCCAGTCACCAGGGACTTCATCTGACTGCCGTGACTTTTCAAATATTATGGAGAGTGGCTTTGCATCAGCCAATTACCTCAGGACTCTGGGATGCATCTCTTCAGGTCCCACAGACGTATATGTACCTTCAGGTCCCTCAGGTGGTCATGAACCTGATCTTCCCTTACAGTGGGAATGGCTTTACCCCCCTCGTCCCCGCCTTGTGGTCCATCAATTCAAGAGGTGTGTGAAGAGAGGTTGCCACGGAAGACTGAGGCAAAAGAGTTGTTGAGTACCTCAGCCTTCTTCTCATCTGTTGAAACTAGGTCGCCATTCTTGTTCATTGGGGGGGTAACGCTTTCTTTAACCTTCCTTTTCTGGTTGACGTACCTGTAGAAGCCCTGCTTGTTATTCTTTGCGCTCCTTGCCAAATTCAGATCCAGCCGTGCCTTGGCCCTCCTGACACCCTCCCTACACAACAAGGTAGCACCCCTATACTCTTCCCAGGATGCCTGTCCTTGCTTCAACTGCTTGTGCATTTCCCTCTTGTTTGCCTAGCAACAAATATAGCAGCTCTCACACTGTATCCATTTCTTGATCTTGAGGGCAATGCCTCTGCCTCTCCTTCCCCGCCTGTCCCTTCTGAACAGAACTGCTTGTGCATTTCCCTCTTGTTTGCCTAGCAACAAATATAGCAGCTCTCACACTGTATCCATTTCTTGATCTTGAGGGCAATGCCTCTGCCTCTCCTTCCCCGCCTGTCCCTTCTGAACAGTCTGTAGCCATCCATAGGCATACTTCAGTCATAGGATTCGTCCCACCAATTGTCAGTAACAGCAGTCAGGTCATAGCTTTCTAGAAACACCTTAGCTGCTAGAAATTTTTAATTTATTTTTTGTATTTATTGTGCAAGATAAACTAGTCAATAGTTTGTCATCAGAAGACTTTTCATGTTTGCTTATTTATTTTCAGAATAGGCTTCTATGAAGAGAAATCTCGGTGTCATTTAATTGCACAGCCTCTGTCTCCTGCTTCTTTTACCCTCCACAGCTTAATTTATTTACTTAAAAAAAAAAAAAGGCAATAAAACTTAAGGACTTAAATGGTTAAATGAATCCCCCTGAGGCATCTCGAAGATCAAATGCTTGTGAGAGGATGATAATTTCCACACTGAAGTGACAGCTTTACTGCCTTAGCAGTCACCTTGTTGAGCACACTAACCAACTATGTCCAACAGATTCCTGGTGATCCCTGGCAGATACTACTAATTAAAGTAGATAAAGCAGCTGTGATTTGATCTTAGATGGTATCCAGACTTGGAGAACTCTGACTTCAAGAAATCTACTGATTTTGTGAATAATTGTGAAATTTAGCCAATGTAGGAAAATGAAATTTTGCAATTTTCCGTTGCTTCAAATGCAACGTTTTATTATTTTTATAATTTTTTAAATTATTTTTAAGACAATGGGAGCAAATAGTGATGTAAAAAATGTTTAAATTCTTTGTTCTGGAAAGTGAAGGATTGAAGTGTTGACAGTTTTCTGAATGTTTCCAAGTTCAGTGTTTGTCCTGGCAGAGTACAAATCTGTTAAAATATCTGACTAGATCTGCTAGTCATATTACTATAGCTCTCCAAAGATAACATTTTTTCTGGGTGCTTTCCAGAGGAATAGTAGGAAAAACTGTGAGAGTACTGAAATGTCATTTTCCTGACACCATATCTCACAGTAAATTAACACACAAGTATGTGTATGTGCACGTGCACACACACAGACTTTTTCAGAATCAAGGCGTAAAAATATTGTGCTGCCAACATGAGCCACCTCACCCTGGGTGCTGTTATTTCTAATAGCCAAATGAAATCAATGGTAGCTGGCAAGGAACGCCTCCACATATACAAGTTTGTCCTGTGTATATTTACTGGTTTATTGATTCAGTTCTGAAAAGCATCTGAGTAGAATTTAGCACCTGCTCTCTATGCTCTTCAATTAGTTCTCCTCTGTTCTTGAAATCCTTTCTTTTCTCACCAAATCTTGCCTTTAAAAAAATACCACACCCCTTCATTTTCATGGCTTCAGTGCTGTCAAGTGAGCTGAACAGCAGCTGAGGTTCTCTGTCTACATTTTTGTTTTAATCAGCTTTGCTAAGGTGCATGTTAATGTCTGCTAATAGGCCATTAGCTAGTTGGCCTATTAACTAGAAAAGGGTTGATAGTACATTTGAGTGTCAAGATGTCACACACTTTTGTTCCTCACCTCTGAATGAATGTTTTTGTAATCTTTTTCCTTGAAAGCAGAAGAAAAAATATTTTGACCTGTGGTATTACACATTCAGTGTCTATTTTCCTCATGTAAAAGCCTGCTTTTTATACCATCTGTTGCTATACTTTTGACATACATGGGTGAACTCAGGGGTTACTTGAATTTCCATGTGTGAAATCAGGGAATGTAGACAGCATATTTTCTTGAGTTTTAAAATTAGTCTTAAAAACAAATAAATTTTATACCAGTCTAGTGGCACGAGGTCTTGATCAAAGGTATTTTTGTTCCAAAATGCTATATTCTTCAAGCAAGATTCTGTAAAATGTCACTGAATGTTTTATGTAAGAGAGGGCATCGGGACAAAAGTTTATCTACTAGGCTGTCAAATAAAAAGTGAAAGTGCATGGCAAAACGACTTATATTTCAATGATAAAGAGCATTGAGGATTTATAAACAATTTTCAATAAATTCATCTTTTTTAAAAGTCTTATCTGTTTTTTTTACGGCTCTGCATGGTTTTTATCAGTATTTTCAGTCTTTGAATAATAACAGAAACTGATTCTCTTGCAAATACTCTTCCATCAACATTTTTTTGTCTTGCTTTACCTCACTGCATTTCAACTTTATTAACTAAACATATCTACCTAAGATAATCTTATATATCTGTTTTTACATGGTAGTCGTTTCCATAACAGATATGCCACCTTTGCAAAATTCAGTAGAGAACAATTAGCTTTTACCAAATATTTTCACCGACATTGCCATGACTTTGGTAAACTGCATGATTAGAGACATTTCAGATTGAATTTATTCTGCTATAGTTCAGCAAAAAAAGTGTCACAACAAACTTTTAAAATGTTCTTAGTGATTATCTTCATATTGTTAATTGTCTCCAGTGTGTATAGTCAATACAATGTACTGTATTGTATATAGTAAATGAAATAAGCATTCAGTTCTATTGGCTTTAAAATGCATTTGTTTTGCTTCTCTTATGTGAATGTTGGTAGAGAACTGTGTGCTGTCTTTTAGTTTTAAAACAGACCAAAACACTTGAGCCCGCACTGTTTATACTTCAGGTTCAGCCCCAGCAGACTACAGCTGAACATTGGACAGAAAAATTCTCATGAAAAGAGCACTTTCCCTTCCCCTTTTATGCTTCCCTCAGGATATCTATCAGCTCCGTGCAGCAGTCTGTGTGGGCTTCACTGCCTATATCACAAGAACAACTTTTATTAAATTCTACTTCAGCAGCTGAGCTTCCAGGCCCAGCATGAAAATGAAAGCAGAGGAAGAAATATTGCTTGGTCACACATTCCGAAAGCTTAGCTCAGTTTTAGTTGAAACTAAATTTTAAAAACGACCAGGGCTTTCGAAGGCATAGGTCCTACCTTTCAAAAATGCCTCTTCCATACATGGTTGCTACATCTAATTCTGTTCTTTTTGGGCAAACCAAACTAAAGCAAGAGTTGCTGCTGTTTTTCCTGTTCTTTTCTGCAGCAATTTAAAACTGATTCTTAATAGAAATTTTAAACAGAGAGCTGGCATTATATACCTGCCATTTTGGTTAAACAATTATTTTTTCTAACCAGTACTGAAGTGCATTTAATTCTTGGGGTAGCAAGCAGATGATGCTCCACATAGACCATCCTTGTTCAGCCTGAATTTTGGCTCCATAAAAACAGATGTTTAGGTGAAACAATTCTGAAAGTCACCATGATGCCATGCAGATGGTGAAAATCTCTGTACCAGGTCCTGACCATAGCAGAATACCAGAAAGTATAGATGCTTTAGATGCTTTTATCTAGCTCTGAAGTGTGGTTCCTGAAATATTTCATACTAGAGAAATCAGGGTAATGGCCCAGTCATTTCCTTGGTTGAATTTAGCAGCAGTCAAGTAGAAAATTAAAATAAGCTAAGTTTGAGCATCCTGCTCAGGTCAGGTACTACTTGGTCAAGTTCAAATTTCAACACATTCACCGTTAATTTTTCTTTCAGGTAATTCAAACTATCTCTGCAACTGACAAAGATAACTCTGCAAATGGGGCAAGATTCCATTTTTCCCTTGATGAAGGGCTTGCTTTGAATCCCAACTTCACCCTAAGGGACAATGAAGGTAAATCAAACACAGAAATCTCAAAGAAATCAAATCAGTCTCCATTTTGTTTGGGATGTCATTGAATAGAACAATTTCAATGCATATCTTGACAGAAGAGAAAAATTGTAATCTGTCATCACTGAACTGGCTGATATCAAGGACATGGTGTATACAACATATTGCAAACTATGAATAATCAGATATTGCATTTTATTTTTATATTCCATTTTATTTTAGCATTTATACTTCATACATTCAGAAATGCTTTTAAAAAGTGTATTAATGAAAAAGATGTTAGCAATTTGGTCTATTTCTAGGTGAATAGCACTGAGTGGGTACTGTCAAGGTTATTGCCAGTAATTGCTTAAAGGCGAAAATAAGAATTTAAGGGGCATAAAAAATTGAATTCATGCTTACTTTTATGGTTATCATACCAAGAGGAGGTCCTTCAGTGTTTCCTGGGTGATAGTCTATTGCTTCACGCCTTCCTAAGAAAGTGTGCCTAAAAAGTATAATCAGAAATTCATAGCAGATAGGCCCAGGATGAAAAAGGCCTTCAGAGTCACCCAACCAAGTGCTTCTGAACATTTTTTGAGTCAAAGAACCATCCAGCCTTTCCACAAAACAACCCAAAATCATCCTGTACTATGTGTTGAGTCTTGCCATATGGTTTCTGTTTTGCAACCTGATGAAAATGAGAGTAAACTTTAAATACTTGTCTGTAACTTTCCTCTTGAGCTTTTGTGTATATGTGTATTGTGCGGTTTTGTTTGTATGCATGTGTGGAAGTGTGGCAGGGTTGGCTTTGTTTTACAGCTATATTTTTGCAGTAGTGCCATGGAATACTTTCTGAGGTCTTACAGATCACTACTCATCTGTAACGACTGAGAAGCATTAACTCCGTCATTGGTACATATGGCATATACAGTGATGTTTAAACTATTCCTGACAGATATTTTTTATCTGTTTTCAAAACTTTTCAGGGAAGGAGACTGCATAACCTTCCTAAAGAATCTGTAAAAAAATGTTTAATTATACCTACAGCAGAAAAAAAAATCAAGTTATGCTGTTTGTTTGGACTAGATTCACACACACAGAATCACACAGAATGTTCACGGCCCTCACATTCTGGTTCCAAAAGAGATCAATCCAATATCTGTCAATATTAAAAAACTAATAATATTTGAAGGACTAATTCACGTATTGAAAATATACCTTAAGTGATGACTCCAGCCCTTTCCCAGATTAGTATATCAATTCCACTCAGATAGTGATAGAGCATTCTAGCAAAAGCCAGAGTGTTGTTCCTGAAATGAAGGAAGTCTACAGTTGTGTATTTTTGTATTTGAGTCTAACATTCAAATAAACTCATGGAGTATTGGACTGTGATCTTATGTGGGAGACCATGGCCATGTTCATTTCAGTACAAGAGACTTGCAACAAGACATGCTTTTGAATAACTATTAAAATTGTGGTTCATGGTGAAGTAGATATTTTATGGTTTTGGACATATTTTAATTGTTTTACTTGTGTTTAATACCAATGGAAAATGTTGTGTTATACCTTAAGGACTGCATGTCAACATAAGTTATTTACCTACACATATTTATAAGAGGGTGAGAACTTTTCATAAATCTCTAATGCAGTGGTGTCACGCTTCAGATATAAGTATGCAGCAGTAAGTATTTGCTGCTTTCTTGTTACCTCCCCAAGAGCAATGAGCAGTGACATTACCACCAACAGCAGAAGGCAGCTTTTGGGCTGTGTTTTTGTTTCACCTAAGGAGATACAGAAAGTAAGTTTGCACTTCCTTTATCATCTCACATAAAACTTCTACACTTACAGAGACTCCAGAAATGCAGTTTCCAGTTTGCCCATAAAATTAACATAATGACAGTTTAACTCAAATCATAACAAGAAATTTATCTTAAAACCAAAAGCATTGTCACTATTTTGCTCGACACATGACCCTTTGGTTGTACTGTTTAAACACTGCCCATCAGTGGGACCTTTTTCTTTGTCATACTATCTATATGTAAAATATCAATGAAACACAAAGTGTATTCACAATATCCAGTTGTCTAGCATTTCCAACTTTCATATTTATCATCTATTCCTATTCAGAAATGGAATTTCTGTTGCTTTCTATTCTAGGAAATAGCTGAGAGATGGTGGGCAGAAGAGGCTTTTTTTTATGTCTATGACAATTTTACAGTTTTGAAAACTCATGGTTTTGAGCATCGGTGGTTAAAAATAATCAGAATGCTTTTAATACAAGAGAGCTGCTATTTTTACCTATGGATTTAATAAGTCGATAAAGGCTGGCACTCCTGGAGGGTTTTATTTGTTTATTTGTTTGTTATGTTTTTTTAAAGGAAAAAACTACAGCAATTGCCTTAGCAGTGTTTTCAGTAATGTATTGCAGAACGAACAAATCCAAAATCTTGATGTCACATTGAAAGTGGTAGTCAGTCGTAACTGTATCTGTCACTGCTAAGCCATATTTCTCTTGCAGTCATCTTTGGATGCAGTTATCCTCTCCTTTTATTTCTTCAGGACAAAGGTTTCATTTCACAAAAAACTCAGTAGACACTTTATTCCCTTGTTTTCATAACCCAAAACCAACAGAATTCTGCTTTTTGAGCCCAAATACACTATTTCGTAAATGTTCCCCTACTCCATTATCATCAGTAGAGCTACAAGATCAAAAGACCCTACAGCAGTGAAATTAAATATTTCATACTTTAAATATTCACACTTGTATCTATGCACTTTGACTGAAATTTAGAGGACTTGCATAAGCATAAGATTTCATAGTTTGTCCCTACCTACCTGTATAGACTGCAGCAATGTACAATCTCAGCACGTGTATGATTCAGGTCAATAATATTCTATGGCTTCAGCAGAGGAAATAGATATTAAGGTGGCAGTCCAGATCACATGACCAGTTAAGCATTTGTCTCTCGGGCCTGAGCTTGTGCCTTTACTCAGTAACAATCCACAGTGTTAAAGCTCCAGCCTTTGAACATGCACCCTCATAACACAGAGCTTAAAACCTTCAGGGAAATGTAGGTCAGGGGACAGCTACAGGGCTATACCAAATACGCAGTCCGACAGAACCTAAGAGTTGCTTGGATCACCTTCTGGATTCTGTAGGTGTTTACAATTTGCATGAAAAGAAAAAAATGGAAAAGACAGAATATGATACCTTTTTCCCTACTGACTGGATTCTCAAGCTACAGTAGACTCTTTGCTGCTGGTTGAGGTTTTTTTATGTACTGGCAAAGTGCTATTCAGAAAGGGTAAAGGCTTGAGAGTATGAACAAGAGGACAGCCAACAAAATGATGCACTATCTGTATATATGTAAGCAAGACAGGACAAGAGCTGCAATAGAAATTCTTCACTAGACAAAGAAAACACATCAAGTTGTAATCCTTTCCTGCAATTTTAGAGAGCAAACCCAGGGAAGATGCCTTTTGTTTGTTTGGGAATTGTACTTATGAAGGCTTTTTAATGAAAACAGGACTGTTTACAATCTATTCTGTCCAGAAAAATGTTGCAGTTTCTATTAAAACCTGAGCAGCCAAATACTTTTTTAATCTGAAGGTGCTTTTATGTTGCAGTTCAGATGCTATATAACTCAGTTCATTGTTGTCTGTGTTCTCACTTTATTTTTTAGGACGTTATCATAGATAATTTTTTAATATTTTTTTTCTCTTGTATGTAATATCTCAAATTTACACTTTTTTGCCTAATCAGAAATATGTGCTTTTGGATGTTCCATTAAAAAATTGCCAGGACAATATAAGACTAAAGCCACCTTCTAATGCGGAATCAGAGGAAAGATGAAAGAATTTCTTCACCATAGAGCTGTTTCTAAGTACTGAATTTTAAAGCTGTACTTTTTTTATCCTGAACAAATAATAATATTTTTCCAGATGTTTACAAACATTTTATATATTTCTCAAAATCTGGTAGCTTGATGGGAAATACATGTGAGCATGTCGCTATGATATCCCCAACCATTAATATATAGACACACACATTTGCACAGCCCGTCTCTCTTGGAGTTTAAAAAATGTATTTCCTCTTTCTGCCTATTTTCTTACCTATTAAAAACTTCTTTCAGAAGTTACACAACACTATTCCTGGAACTGGCAAAAGATTGAACTCCCAGAGAACAGTTCACTTAGGTGCAAGAGAACATTTATGAATTTCATGCACTGCAAAGCACTGATTTGCTGGTGGTATTTTTTTTCACAAGATGTACAGTGTACCTACTACTCCAACAGGTATTGTAAATTTCCTGGATGATAATGGTTTGTGCAGAGACTGTGCACATTCTTCCAACACTGCCAATAAGATTTGTACATTCTCTTACTTTAATAAATTGAGCCTGCCAACTTTTGATAATAGGCAAAGCTTACCTTTTTTTTGAGGAAGAATAACTCCCTAGAGAATGCTTAGCATTTGTTCTCCTCTCCTTTCACGTCTTCAGGATAGAGGTTTCATTTCACAAAAATATTTGCAGTTTTATTTTTCCTCTCTGCCCACTTTTTTCAAAGATCTGTCCTTTTGAAAATTGCCCAGCGATGGAGGATATTCTGGAGTTGGAACAAAGGTAGGCCATTTTTCTGATACTATCCCTTTGGAGATCCCTTTGGAGATTCCTTTTTCTTAATGTGATGCCATGAGATAGTTTAATACCCACAGAAGTAGAGACCTGCTTTTCTGTAAAATCTGGAGCACAAGTTCAATGGCATCTGTATAAAATGGAATTTGTAGTGTGTTCATCCACTCATGCTTGTGATGCAAATTAGCAGTTTTGCTGTGTCACAGATCAAAAACGAGTACAAATAAGATCAGTTTTACTTGGCATTGCTGTTATTTAGGAAGAGGGCAACCTCCAGAGAGTAATTTGTGCCATCCCAGCACGAATTCACTTGCAGAAGTTTCTGTTTATCTCTCTTCCATTATATGTGTGAAATTCTTGTCTCCAACCGTACTGCTCAAGATG